TAAGTGTTCTTTGGAGTTCTAGCGAGTCCTCTGGTTTTGTCACCGTTTTCCATAATTTTGCATCGTCAGCAAACATTAATGTATACGGCCCAAGAATGTCCGTTAGGTCGTTTATGAAAACAAGGAAAAGTTGAGGGCCCAGTACGGATCCCTGTGGAACTCCTCGTGATACGTTGATGGGATCAGAAAGTGAATCAGAAACCCGAACTGCAATGATGCGTTGTCCAAGAAACTCTTCTATCCAGCCCAGTACAAGTCCCCGAATTCCGTAGTTGTGTAGTTTCCTCAGCAATATTTTGTGGTTCACTCGATCAAATGCTTTAATGAAGTCGAGGTACACGACGTCTACTGCATCACCGTGATCAGCTGCTTTTGTCCACTCTTCTCGGGCCAGAAGCAGGTTAGTAGTACTCGATCGCATGCGACAAAACCCACGTTGAGCAGGGCATAACAGGTTGTATTTTTCCAAGTGACTCATCACATTGTCTGCAACAATGGATTCCATGACTTTGGATAATACGGGGAGGGGAGTAACGGGGCAGTAGTTAACTGGGTCGCTACGACAACCGCTCTTGTATATCGGAGAGATTATACCTTGTTTCCATGTTTTTGAGAGCGCAATTTAATTGAATATTTGTTGGAATAGTTTGCTTAGTGGTAGTGGCTGACTCAGTACTAACAAGGTCATTGTCCCTCAATCCCATTTTATCTACTTGACACAGTTTTCGAGAGAAGGTAATTGAACAAAAACTAGTGATTATCGGATTGTTTCAAATAACCTTATCGCTTTGCAAGTTGCATTTGGATGTGCAAAGGACCGAGGCGGGGGTGGATACATAGGGTGGCAAACTCGAACAGAAAAGGTCGAACGATGCTTGAGCGGTGAGTTTCTTCGAATCATTGTGATAATACTCCTTCTTATCATGCTACGGACCGAGCCTGCTCGGTGATGAGTAGCGACGTCTATGGAGCCGACTTATCCTCTAACAGGAGATGGTCGTGTACCAGTAAAAATTAAATTAACTAACCGAAATGGACTCAACATTTGAAACAGATCACGAGAGATTAATGTTGGAGATAAACAGGTCGTGAACGAATTTGATGCAATGGGCAGATAGGAGCAGAATAAAAACAGTCTCCATGACACTGGAAAATTTGAAGCACGACGATGCGACTCAAAGAAACTTACTTCGTCTGAGGAAGCTGGACCAGGTCCCGAAGCTGCTGAACTTGCTGCCGCAGCTGCGGCAGCGGTGGCAGCGGCATACATGTTGGCTTCTTCTTGTGCTTTGACAATATTTTTCTTGTACCGGATACGTTTGTTGCCAAACCAGTTGGAAACCTGTACGTTAACATGAGTATATGAGAGATACGTGTGTGAAATCACGATTTCAAACAGAATAAGAGCGGATCATTGAACAAAAAAAAACGACGCATCGAGGGTGACCCCGTGAGAAGAAATTCCGGAAAATGAGGTAAATAAAGATCTCAATTGGTGGCATGAAATGGGCGATATGCCGCCATCTTTTCTTTTTCTTCTTCAGAGGAGACGTAGTAAGAGAACAAAAAGAAATGGGGTTATCAACTAGAGAGAGAATGCTTAACACATAGCTACTGGGTCACATGATTTCACACCAACTGCGATGAGCTTCCGGTTTATGAAAGCTAGAACACTGTCGCAATCCACAGAACACATCATTTCATAATGCTGCATTATCACATAATACGTCAGCCATTTTGCTTTGCATTGTGATAGAGTGAAATAATAAAAAGAAATTCAAGAACCGCAGTTCGAGCGGATGTACCTGACTACCCTTAGTCCTTCAAACAGAGATACAGAAGACAACCACAACCCTCTAAAAGCGCAATACGGAATTGATTACTCAGAAAAACCTATGAAGAATAAAATAAGTCACTCAGTCGCGTGCGCGCACAGAACGAGCTACGGTGTTTTAATTGATAGAAGCGTCCATCACAATCATGCAACCGAAACCAGCGAAACTTTTTCTGATTCTGTAAGCCGTATTCGAGTAACAAGTATTCTGTCCACTTAGACCTATTTCTTTGACGAGTGAAGCAACATATGGAATGAGCTGTAGCGCGGTCACTGTATAGGTAGCAGTGAAGTATAACAGCCAGTTCCAAGGGCATACGCCATGATAATGCATATGAAAAGGTTGCGCCATAGTAAATATTACCGAATCAACCAGCATATGCGAACATAAATCAAAGATATGGTTATCATCATTCTTGATTTGTCATCTGGAGTCTGTAAAATACACATCAATTGGTCAAATCTTATTAAACATAAATACGATGTTTTCCATTGTTGTGCATAATTCCTCAACGTCATGTCATACCTCGTCAATTTGAAATTTGTAGGTGGTTCTGATTTACGGAAAAGATAAAATTCTACTCGTGAAAAATTCACCAAACCAGACAAACCTCAAGTGGTGTGCGAAATCACATGTACTTGTACGCGAAATAAGTGTGCAGCGCATAAGTGGATGACAATACAAATACACGCACATAGGCGCAGACGAATACAAGCACTACACACACACACACACACACACACACACCCAAATAAACAAACAAGAATGTATTTACACATATGCTCCGGTGTTTTCACACTATCAGAACACTCCCGGCTATCACGTGCATTGGATTAGACGAACACATCAGACAGGCGAGAGTATCCAGTCTGCCACGAATAGTTGATGCTGCTGTTTCTGCTACTGCTTGTACCACGATGATGTGACCGCAGTAAGAGTTGCAATTTCCCTTGATAAATTCCGGTATACTCATCCAATAACAAAAAAACACAATGGGCAACAAAAAGGACTAGTCTAGACTGGTTCTGTCGACCTGACATAGCAAAATGTAAACTTCGCCATCATGCTGATCGATAGTTGGTAGGCGTGAGCACTAAATATATATGCTAAAGTGAGAAACCGGGAACCAGTGAATGGAGTTCCAAGTGCCTACACTGTACCGTACGTACGGAACCGTTCTGACAAGGATAGTGGACGATAAACCAGTCGTTACGCTGGACCAACCGAATGATCCAAAATATCGAACAAACTATAGATGCGACTGAGCGCATGGCAAAGCGAAATCATAGACAGCCCTAGTCCTAATAGACCGATTGAAGGCAGATGAATTTCACTGTTCTCCGAATAATTCACATGGAGTCCCATGGTATGGCATGGTTACTGATGCAGAAACATGACAATTGGTTNNNNGTTTGGTTATCCCGTACGCAGATTGATGATGCACAGAACCACTGCATTTGAATGAAGAAGCATCGCATAGCTAGTTAGTTCAGGTATTCCGTTGAAAAAAAAACTTTTTCTCGGGTATGATTAGGTTTTACATCACACCTTTTTATTACACACATTTCTGATGAACAGCAGACGGGGTGGACCCCTTTAATTACGAAGACCTGATATTCAATGATGCAAACCGGTGATCTAAGCCTTGGGACTTGGAGTGGTGAACCACATAAGGCCCAATTAGGTTAGGCGTGGTATTGAACTGGATGACAACAATGCTGCCTACGACCAAAGTTGGGTGGTGGTGGTGGTGGGGCGACTTTTTGTTTGTTGTTTTTAACCCGGTTCGCAGTTGGACTAGCGCGTAAAGTGAGGAAGGATAGTACTTCCGTCTGGAGAGCGTTTTATTTCAGGTTCTTTCTGGGGTCATGATGCTGTGGCATTTGATCCTTAAGTTGCATTCGTGTGTACATGTGAAACAGTTCGATGTACCTGTTTATTGAGCCGGTTGAAGAGTGGCAAGCCTGGAGGATTTTTCTGGCGTGTTTCACCGGGTTTCGTCGAGGATTTTCAGGGATTCGAAGTCAAACTGATTTCCTTGATCTTCACAAAGGGAATAGAGTGGGAGCGCGTCATGTCTCCTAACTGTCACGGACCCTCGTTTATAGTTTGGTTCCAGTTTGTCCGATACAGCGTATTGGAAGGTCCTTCCAGTTAATTTTGTAGGTAACATTACTCTTGTCTTTCTTTCCTATTTTCTCCCTTGGTTTGGACAGAATTCTCCGTAAGCAAGAGCTCGGTTTGTGGGCTACTTGGGTCTCACGTGATCTGAGCAGTCGTGCTGGCATTTCCGGAACGCTCTTGATGTACGGGACACCGCCACTCCACAAGCACGGAGAATGTCACCTCGGCTGGCGATGAAACGTTTGTAAATCAATTGCCGACCCCGGAGAACAGGCGAAAATGAATTCAACCCCTGATGTACGATAATGACCGATTTACGCTGACGCCAATCATACATAAGCCTGTACCACTCAACAGCGGATATCCTAATTGCGGTATATGTCAGAGAGCAGGGGACAGATTATCTTGTCTTTTTCTAACTATTAATCATAACAAGCATCGTAAACGAACACTGATTACAGATGCTGAGATTGACTGTATCCCTTGGCATTATGGTTTGACCTACCGCGTCAGAAAACTCTGGATTTCTGCGGGCTATTTGCACCTAACGGAAACCGAACAGTCGATGCAGGATAGCAAAAATACAGTGCACATTTATCGCCAGCTACTGGGTATGCTCCATATGCATTTCAGATAGAAACATTTGGGTCGAAGACACGTGAACAATGCTATCCTGGACCTACTGGTGGCAAAAAGGTGTCGACAAAACCATCCGAAGCAAATAATTGGTTTACCTCAAACCAACGAATGTGCTTTGAACGACGGACAGATAACTTCAAAGCGCAGTTCACTTGGTCACATGTACTCGTTTATCCAAGTACAGCCGCAGCGGACCTACCAGAATGTTCTTGATTAAAAACTAGTGCCCCTTTGCTCAGAAACACAATTCGTAAGAATACTCGACCTTCCGTGACTATCACCACACGACACAATCATAAGCTATCAGTTCCTGATG